CTGCACCATATAGCAGGACGGGAATTATGAGTGACTTATAGAGTTTGGTTTTTGTTTGTCGAGAGAGGACTTTGCTTTTCAATTGCCTACTCAGTCCCAAGTAGCACCCGTTGGCAAGAGTTATCATGCGTTGGATTTCTAGGCTGACATTGTTGGTGGTGTTTACGCTGGTCCCAAGATAGATAGATTGAGTTACTTTAAGAAAATTTCAAACTTTTATATATCGAGATTGGTAACCCTGCTTTGTGAGAGCAATCAGCTGACACGTTTCTACGGCAAAAATCCAAATGCCGTGAATTCTCACGTCATCCTACGTCGAAGAGAGAAGGGAGTAGCGTTTTTCACTGTTCACTTACATAAGATAGGTCGTATAAGCTGACACGGGCCACGATTCCACGTTCTCCACTTTTTCTGCTATACGGAAGGAAAAGGAAGGAAGGCAGTAGCGTTCTTCACTGTTTCTGCCATTAGTATACCATTTACTTTAGCCTGTCTAGATGCCTCGTCATAGATAACTTGATACCAGTCTCTTTGGTACGAGAGAGAACTGTCAAAACTCGGATTTTTATAACATTTGCCAATGATGCCACTTCTGAAATATTTTAGATTGGGCATTTTATAAACAACTTTTGGGTATTTAGCAGTTTCACCATTACCACTGAGGTATGCAAATAGAGTGTTATCGATATTATTTTTGGGTGCTTGGTTCCAAAGTAGGCCTATATGACTCACATATATATAAATAATTTTACAAACTACTACATCTAATTTTACAAAACTTCAACAACGCATTAATTTTTTCTGATCAATTTATCTATGGCCTCGCAAACCAGAGATAAAGAGATCCCCAACTCTCCTGTCACTTTAAATGTGCGAACCGCTCACCTACCGAAATTTGACAGTTCACTGGATTGGGTAGGTTTTGACGTTTTATATTGGAATGACTGTAACGGCCAGATTGAAATTATACCAAAAATATATGTGAACGGAGGAATTTGTTGCCGCTGTTCAATATCGCTAATAAAAATAAAACAATGAAAATCACAGAAAATGCGAAATTTAAATTTACTTCATGAAAAGTTTTGCATAGTAGAAATATATTTCCAACAGGTTTAATTCACCTTACTAAGTATTCAAAGAACAAAAGTCAGTTGTTTTAATATACCATAAAATCATAAAAAAGGATTTAAGTAGTTCTGCCATATATGATTTCAATATAAAGATAATAATTTTTAATCTTAATAAATGTTGGGTGTTTTAATTCAAATGCCCAAAAGTTCTTATTTTGTTCGATCTGGCCATAATGGAAAATACGCCTATTTCGAGGCGCTCTTACACTGAAATAAGTTGGCATCCCATTATCCCTGTCGTAAACTTTAGCCAGAGAACGTTTATTATAGAGAAGGTTCACGTTTTAGATATCGTAACTTTTCGCAGGGGTACTCGGCAGAGATATCATAGATAACTTGATACGAGACTCTTTGGTTCGAGAGAGAGCTGTCAAAACTCGCATTTTTTATAACATTTGCCAATAATGCCACTGCTGAAAAATATTAAATTGGGTATTTACCAAAGTATACAATACACTAATTTAAAAGTTTGAAAATGCATACATATATAAATGCTAAAATGCAAATTAATTAATTAATTTACATAATCATTTATTTTGCCAAAATATGTTCGCACAGTTCAATGAAATTTCATTTCACACTAATTTCGTCAAGTAATTATAGCGCTACTCTTCTGGCATCCCGCCTTTTTCACTAACTATCAGACAAATTTGAAGCGTGTGTCACCAGAGTTTTGCAGCAGGGGCCTCCAAAATTGCATAATTGAGCATTTTCGATGTTAAATGAGAAATATAATGCTAATTTCAATGGAAAGAAATGTACTCCTACAGATTCGTTTATTTTCTGTGCACAACCGACTCGGCATGTAATTTATAGATTGTCGGTATATATTTGGTATCAAAGCACTTACTTAGTATATAAGAACATATGTAAGTATATTAAAATAAATCTATGTATTTCATGATGATTCCATAAAATCATTAAAAATATATAATAAAGTTTGTATTATTACCCAAATAATTAATACAAATTTAAAGTAATTCGTTTTAAATTTATACATTTACATTATATGTTTTGATATCATCTTAAAAGATCTAGTGGTCGCACATGTGTTCATATATAATTATGTGTGCTTGTAAAGAAATATGACAGCCCATACGCATCATATTTGTAAATTTGTCTACATGCAACATATGTATGTAGGTATGTAAATATGCACACTTAATGCTTCATTTGAAATTTTCGTTGATACGGCCAAAAAAATTGCCGAAAGTCACATTTTGTCAAACAGTCAATTTGACGAAGGATCGATACGTCACAGCCTTGTGTTGTTGGTGGAAAATCACAGCCGTGACCAAAATATTAAGGGAACGATCGCCAATGGTCGCTGCTTTCCTTGCCGCTCTAACAGATTCGCCAAAAACTTGCGTAAATATGTATGTATACGTATATTATAAATTGACAACAGCTATGTTGCCACTTTTATCACTCTGTGTTTTTTGTGTTTTGCGAGTTTGCATCGGAAGGTTTTTCAATTTGATTTTTAGCCTTTTCCCTCGTCGCGTAAAGCCGCTAGTGGGCAAACGCATGCTCGGGGATAGGTGCAGGTGATCGGTTTTATCAATGAAGCGATTTTGCTTGATGGAAGTGCGCGTGCGTTCAGGAATGAAATTGTTCTTGTTGTAAGATTTACTACATTTGGCTGCCGTATTGACTTGTGACGCCGCTGATGCTATTTCAGGCATTTGTTGTAATTTTTACGGGTGACATATCTACATTTGATCGCATATAAATTAGTATGTATGGTGTGTATGCATTATTTGTGTAGGAGTGTCATAAGCACATATTTATTGTATGTACATATGAGGAGCGCAGCTTGTTATTACTGATAAGTGATAATATGATTTGAATTCATCATTGTCATGATACTTGTGAAAATATGTACATATGTAAGTTTTGAATGATAAAATATACGATTTATGTACATTTATCACTGTTGTAATATATTTCATTGCTTTACTATATTATCTTAGTTTTTTATATATGTACATATGTAATAAAGTATACACATAAGTATGAATATATCAAATACAAGAGAATATTAAAAAATAGGCCATATTTTCAGATTAATTACGAATATTGCTTTAAAAAAGTAATGTAATTAAAATATATTCAATTGCACCTCTATTCATAAATATGCACAAAAAGCATTCATATAAATACACATGGCATGTAAACGAATAAAAATATATACAAAAGAACTAACGTATGTCTTTAACAGCAATATCTAATTCTGAGCATAATTTTCATTGAATGCTCAGCTCTGTTGAAGCTCAACTGTTAAAATTTCTCCCACCGAGCAGGCAGTGGGGAAACTCCCTCATCTCGACCGAGTTAGCCTAAAATAGTTTTACGTTCTCTGCTTTAGCCTGTTGAGAGTACCTCGGATCTTGGTAGTCCATCGCCATTTCTTAAATATTACCAGCTACCAACGCTTGTTCTTTGAATTTTATTGCTCGTGTAATGACAGGTTTATAGCAGATGTTGCAAGTAAGGTTTTATTTTCGTGTTTTATAGGCGATGGACAATTCAAATTGTAATTGAGACTTTCATTACGGCACAGTTATTTACAAATTGCTACAGCAGAGGTAGATTTAAATCTGTAAATGCTATTGAAATCTATTAATATATGGTTATTTTTAATTGATGTTCAAGCGTTTAAAGTGAATTACCAGCGAATGCTTTTGTTGATACCTGGGTGAAAGTTGATCATTAATTTTCTCGGCACAACTCCGATTTCTTTGGCGCCACGGTATGAAGGTACCGGTGGAAAGAGGAAGTCCTCGTGATTAAAAAATATACTTATGTATAAGGTTATAGGTACCTCAAATAGTTGAATTATTATTCGGGGGGAAAGGTACGGTTCTGATTACTGTGGCGGTTGGAAAGAAAACACGAATTTCGGTATAAATGGGGTATGTACGGATATATTATATTCTGCGGAGCTTCTCCAGAGAAGGAATACACAAAAATAATACTGTTAACATTATTATTCCCGATTCAAAATTCAAAAATTTTTATTAATAACGGGGAATGTTCGCTTTAGTATCCCTTTTTGAAGAGGTTTTGCGCAAAGGTTGAGGGGGCTGGGGCTTGCTACCCCCCTCATTTGAAAGGTAATGATCGGAGCTTTTGAATAATAGAACCCTGCCCCCCTAAGCACGGGGGGCTCTAGGGCAGCCTTCTGAAAATGGTGTAAAATCGTAGTTTTTCCATACAAGTGTCACTAATTATTATAAAATTTATGTATTTTTACGCATAGAGTGACTATGTTTATTATTTTTATTATTTCAAAGAATTAAAGTGGAAATCCACTTTATTTATATAATAAAAACACTGAAAATTAAAAATTGTATATGTGTCGGTAATAATGCATACACGTAGTTGAAGTACCAAGATAACCCAACCAACCATTTATACAAGACCCCCGTTGTTGTTGTTGTTGTAACGGCAGAATTCTGCCGAGTTGACAGTCCTTGGCCGGATAAAAATCCGGGCCCGTTCCGGTGTTCGTAGACCCGACTGTCGTGGGAACGGGGGTCTTGTTGTTGTAACGGCAATTGGAAATTTTTAATATAATTAAATAAAATAACTGCTTTCAAACGTTATAATCATGTCAAATAACCAATCAGGTAAATAGAATACGTTATTTAGCTCTCTGAAAAGTGGGCAATATATTATATTCTGCGGCGCTTGTTTCAATGTAGTATATTATGCTGAAAATATATTCAAAATTTGGAATAAAAAATCGCGCGGAAATCCTTGGCCGGATAAAAATCCGGGTCCGTTCCGGTTTTCGTAGACCCGACTGTCGTGGGAACGGGGGTCTTGTTGTTGTTGTAACGGCAGTTCGACATATTGGAATATTTTTTATCTTTATTTATCAAATAACATAAGCTATAAAAACCATGTGTACTATTTTCGCTGTATAATTTAAACAGAAAATTGTTTAATAGTTTTTTCAAAACACAATATGCTGCAACAATGGTATTTGTCATGACATGTAAAGAAAAACAAAATAAGAGCGAATTGCATATAAAATTGTGGAACTTTAAAGTGAAATATCTCGAAAACTATGATGTGTTGAACACAATACTCGCGACAGACTGCAAACGACATCTGTCAAATATTAAAATACACACGTTCTTATAGACGGACCTATTTTGAAGCTGCACGACTACACGACTGCAAGCCGGCAGTTGTCGTTCTCGCTAACTTCAATTTAATCCTATATTTGCCAACGTTAGTAGGACGACAGTAGAATGGAAGATAGAGAGATGAGGTAGAGTGGTGATGCCACTAATAATTAAAATGTAAAATTACAAATAAAAGCATAAAATAGCTCTGTTAAATCATTTACATATAATAAAAATTGATAATTTAAAACAAATAAATTTACCTTTTTACTTATTTTTTGCTTAAAAATTTCACTTTGAACAAAATATTAAAATTTCATTGAAGTGCAAAGTATTAGTATGGCCACAACGAAATTGTGTACATGCAAAATGGACATCTGCGTTGTTTTGTTTACATGTCGGCCATTGCTGCCCTTTCACCAACGTTCATGTAATAGGATTCACAACGCCATTTTCAGTTCACTGTCGTGCTGCTGCAGTCTGTCGCGAGCATTCTGTTCCTCACATGAATCTGAGGACGGTCTATACATACGTGTATAAGTTGAATAAGTCCTTTGGTGCCAGTTGCGTTTGTACTTGCTATTCGCTCTACTTGGTGAACAAGCTCAAACAGTTCCAAGTGGGTTGTTGTTGGTTGAAAACTTACTCGTATTAAAGTATACTTTGAATAAAATCAAACTTGATTGCTTGGCTGCTAAAGACTTACTAGCTTTATTTAGAACATAATTTTGTGGCTTAACTTAAAATTTAACTAACAGCTACCTATGTGTTAGTTCATATACCTTATTCTATGTACTTAATTCTATGAATTACAAAACATGTAGGAAACTGGAACCGCAGCTGTTCATACGTTGTGGTTCCTTTTATTTCCGACTTTGTTTGTTTAGTCTATTAGCAGCTAGCATCTGATTGCGAGCGCTGCCAACTGGCGTGGGAGCATAATGACTTCAAGGTTGATGGGAATCATCTAAAACTGCTGATGTCGCATGTTCCCTGCGAATGGATTTAGCGTAGTGATGTGATGTTTAGAGTAGAAGTCATGGCGTGGGAGTCATGTGTTAACTTCTCCCTCTCTTAAGTATAATCGTCCGCGATTATTCGCTGTTTGTATCATTTGCATTGAGTTGTGTCAATATTTCTTCAATGACTAGGTCATTACTTTGTTGAGTTTGCCTCCTCATTATAAGTTTAAACGTTGTACGTTTACAAAATTTTGCAACAATTATGATGAATACAAGCATTGTGAGAACGCATAAAATTATCTTCATGCTACTGTGGTTTGTTTCTATCTTTTGGTTTATGTTTGATATTCTTTTAATGTTTTTAATATCAATTAGGTCAATGTTTACCAAGATTAGTTCTTCCAACTCTTTTACTATTTTTAATTTCTGTAAACCGGGGTGCTCTATGTTGTCATAAGCTTTGTGTTCCTTATTTTCGAAAATTGTATTGTTGATTGTTACTTTATCCTCAAATATTACTAAATGTGTTCCATTTMTAGWTATTTTTTCATTAAATCCATCTTGTATTATAAATTTATCATTATTTAATATTATTTACAGTATATATATATAGTTATAATGTTACAATGCGCTGTGTTTTTGTTGAGCAGATCTAATAAACAATTCGGCTTATCTTCTATTTGACAAAAATTAATGACTGTTTTATTATTAAAATTTTTCAATAATTTAAAGTGTCCTCCTTTCTTTCCAACGATTCTGTAGTGACTGTAGTATCTTGTTTTTCGAATTACAGGCTCAATAAGAAAGTTCTGATAAAAATCATTTACTATGGGATACTGTATTATGAAGTATATCGTTTCGTTATTCTGCATAACCTTAAGTTTAGAATTACTTAGTATATTTGTTATGGTAACTTTATCTCTTAAGCTTGCATTTATATCTATTTTAACTGGGTTAACTGCATCCATTTTAATCAACATTATTGAATAAATAATATTTTCTAAGTCTAATATGATAATATTATTTCTATGTGAAATAAGTTCAAAATGTTATCCTCTTTTGTTATTCCATTATCATTTTTTAGTTCATTTATTCTTTCCGTTATCTGATTGATTTTATTATTGATTTCTGGATTGAATGCTATTATTGCCTCAGTTTTTATTTTTACTTCATTGAAATTATAAAAATCCAGTGTACCGGCGACAAATTTAAGTGCCGATCCTAGTAAGTTTATACTGCGTGAATACCTATGATGTAAAGTCAACATATTTACTAGTCTTATTACTTGTTGCGRCTCTATTTCTATTGTTTTCTGTAGTTCTGGATATGAGAAACGTTCTGCTATGTGGAGATTTTCATAGGCCATTTTTATAAAATTATTTAGCTCCGTTTTGTGTATGAGAAATTTTGTGTCATTATAAGTTGCGAGCTCTTCATCCTCTACAGGTATATAGAACGACCGAGAGTAGTCTATTATCTTTGCTGAAGCGGTTGTAAGCCAGAACCTGAAATTAACAAATATTGTCTTTATGAACTTTTTTCCGCTTATTTTAACAGTTAGTTGTACCTAAATCCTCCTGAACTACTTCCACTACGTAAATATTTGATAACTTATTTCCTAGCCGTTTATTTACTTTAACGTAGACAATATCTTCGCTCTTATATGTTTTATATTTAGTTTTTTTATTATGAAATATTAAATAATTTGCTTGTTTTTTCTAAGTTTTTCCTCTATATCCTTATATGATATTTCTTTCCCATAAATTATATTTATTGGCTTATAGTCTGTGACCGAATGAATTGAATTGTTATATTTAATGATTGCTAATAAGATTATTTCCACGACATCACTTGAGTTCCCTTCGTTTTTTATGCATCTACCAATTTCTGTGAGTGTACTATGGAATCGCTCCACTTGACCATTTGACTTGCTATGRTAAGGTGGGACCTCATATTGCTGTATATTATGGTTATTTTTAATGTAATTTTTAATTGTTTTTGACATAAGTGCTGGCTCGTTGTCACACACTATAATCTTCTTTTTAAGGAATATGTTTAATATTTCCATAATGCCTACTTTTATATCAATAATTTATCGACACATCTCAAGAATGAATTCTTTGCCGTCGAGTAAATATCTATATGTAAAATTTCCCCTGGATAAGTTGGAATAGGAGTTTCTTAAATTTTTTGTCTGTCTGGTTTCCTATTATATTTTGAGAGTGAAAAGGTTTTGCATGACTTAATGAACTCGTTTAACCTTTTCCTAATGTTTGGGAAAAAATAATCTTCTGTTATTTGCTTATAATTTTCTTTTGCATTTCTGTGTGCGATGTTGTGTTCAGCAACCAAAATTTCTTCTTGATCGTCTTTGTTAGTTACGTCAATCACAATTTTCTGAGTGTACACGAATTTAATACCTGAAAAGTTCTTTAATAATATTTGTTGTATCTCTCCGAGATTAATTTCTTCGCAGTAAAGTACATTAAC